GGGAATCAGACGGGGCTAAAGAGAAAAGTCATGCTAACCCATAGTTAGCAAAAAAAGGGGACACACGGGTCGATGCATGTTATAAGAGAATTCTGCCACCGGCAGCACTTCCACCCAATTTCTTGTTGAGTATTGCTGAAACAGAAGAGGTACTGCTCCAAAATAGCATTCAGTCTCTCTGTCCCCCCATCAGTTTTGGGGTGATGAGCAGATGACAGACACGCCTGAACCTGCATTTTCCCGAGTAGGGTCTGCCAGAAGCATGCCGTAAATTGTACCCCCCAATCTGATACCATGTGGTCTGGTAACCAATGCAACCGGAAAACATGGGAGATAAACAATTGAGCCGTTATCTTGGCCAATGGAAGACCTGCACACGGAATAAAGTGGGCCATTTTAGTCAACATATCCACAACCACCAAAATGGTTGTGGCACCATTTGATGAAATCCAATGAAACAGCCCCCTATGGTCGTTCTGGTGTGGGCAAGGGCTGCAAGAGACCAGGGGGCACACCAGGAGCATCCTTTGCTTGGTGACAGATCCCACAGGACACCACATATCCTGACACATCATGTTTAAGTCTCAGCCACCAAAATGTCCTAGAGATGAGGTGCAGTGTTTTGAACACCCCAAAGTGTCCTGCTGCTGGACTATCATGACATTGAGGTAGGATAAGGCCACAAAGAGGACCTCCAGGCACATAAATGTGATCACAGAACCGCAACAGGTCCCCAATATACACCCAAGGAGTCTCTTGTCTCCCATTCTCATCCAATTCTCGACGTTGATCTGCCACAATTGGGTCCTGCTGCTTGCGCCTCCTGAATCCTCACTTGAAGGTCCATAGGTTCCTCGGTGGCCACAAACTGGTCCAATGGAATCACCGTCCAGGGCAAGATTGTATCCTCCCTTCGGGTATACTCAGGCTTCCGAGATAGGGCATCGGCACGTTGATTCCCTCCACTCAGAACATAGGTCACCCGGAAATCGAATCAAGCAAAGAATAAGGACCATCTCACCTGATGCTGGCTCAATGTTCGAGCTGTATGTAGGTGTTCCAAATTGCGATAATCCATCCAAACCTCGATTTGGTGACACGCCCCCTCCAGGTGGTGTTGCCATGTCTCAAAAGCGACCTTAACCACCAATAGCTCCTTGTCCCAAATCATATAGTTGCACTCTGGTTATCACGCAAACGTTGCAAAACCAGCCACACATGCTGCCAATGTTCCTGCAGGGAGTCTGAGTAAATCAAAATGTCATCTAAATAAATGACCATGAATTGATCCAACAAATCACGGAAAACACCGTGCATGAAATGCATGAACACAGCTGAGGCATTGGTTAATCCAAAATGCATCACGGTATACTCAAAATGCCTGTACCTCGTCTTGAAAGCTGTTTTCCACTCGTCCCCTGCACAAATGTGAACCAGATTGTAGGCCCCACGCAAGTCCAACTTTGTAAAGATCTTAGCTTGATGAAGCCGCTCAATCAGTTCAGGGATGAGGGGAAGCGGGTACCGATTCCTTACTGTGATTGCATTCAACTTGCGGTAATCACAACACAAACATAGCTCCCCCGATTTCTTTTTCACAAAAAGCACCGGTGCAGCCAATGGGGAGGTAGAAGGCCGGATAAACCCTTTCCGCAGGTTCTTGTCAACAAAATCCCGCAACACGGCCAACTCCGGTTCCGACAGGGAATATATCCGACCCACCGGCAATTTTGCACCAGGCAACAACTCGATTGGACAGTCATACGCCTGATGCAGAGGCAACTGATCTGCCTCCTTCTCCCCAAACACATCAGCAAAGTCCACCAACTCCGCAGGTAGATCCAGGTCCACGGGCGTAGCCACACTCCCTGCACAGGAGCGCAAGCAATGGTTGGCACACTTCCTATCAAGGAACTGCACAGCTCCAGACGACCAGAGAATCTGTGGATCATGGGCCTGTAAATACTCCAAACCCAGCACTACTGGAAAATGAGGCACTGCGGCAACGTAAAACATGGTTTCCTCCACATGCTGCCCAATATGCATGCAAAGGGGTTTGGTTGCAGCAACCACAGGTCCCAAACAAAGGGGCCGACCATCAATCGTCTCCACCATTACTGGTGAGGAATGAACCACTGCTTGACAAAATGAGCATCCATGAAATTGGCTGTGGCCCCTGAATCGACCAAAGCTGGGATCTCCACCACTCCCACACCAGGCACGAACACACTTGCTGGCAGCACAAGATGCTTCACCAATAGCAACTGTGGTGGAGATATCAAAGATGTCAAAAGCAGCGAGGGTGGCAAGGTTGGTGAAGATGGTGGGCCTATGGACTTTACAACCCAACCTGCAGACCCCCATAGGCCGAGCGATGCTCATTTCCCGCAACTGTAGGTATCGCTGCTGTGGATGTCTTAACAGGACACTTGGCCACAAAATGGCCTCGATTGCCACAATAGAGGCATAAACCATCACGACAATGTCTACTCTTTTCTACTTGAGTCAGGCGAGGGCAGCCAGCCCCCAACTGCATGGGCTCCTCCAAAGGCACTTCCACCAAGGGCGCCATCTTGCTGGAAACAGATATGGTCTCTGTCTGTCATCGCACCCATCGCTGTTGAAGTCTAGCATCAATATGAAGACAAATACAAATGCATGAGCTCCTGAAGGGTGTGAGGGCATTCAGTGCACGCCAACTCATCCAGGAGCTCTGACAACAAACCCTCCTGGAACTGGTCTAATAGTGCTACCTCATTCCATTATACATCCTGAGCAACCACCCAAAAACTAGCAATATAATCCATGAGTGAGCCACGCCTCTGCTTCAACTCTCTCAAATGTCTGTTTGCTGTTTGGCTTCAAACAGGGTCCTCAAACATGGCCTGAAACTTCCGGCTTGAAAGGCTTCGGCGGTGGCAGGAATCCATGATCGTGCGCGGTTCCTGCTGCGCTCGCCGCTGGCGTGCCCCCAATCCAGCTGGATTTGGGGGTTAATAGTCACCCCATAGAGGTGACTGAAGATAGAGGAGGCCCAGCAGGGGTTCGGGGGGATCGCAACCCCCGTCCTCAGCTGGCTGAACTCCTTTCTCCAAAAGTGGTGGAGTGGTGGTCAGCAATGACCACCACAAAGAAACTTTCACCTGGACAAAACTGTGCAGGAGGAAGCAGAGAAAGTGAAAGTTTTTGGTTGAACTGGGATAACAAGTAACATCTAAATACCCTGGAAATTCAACTCTTTTAAGATACATTGTTCCCTAAGAAGATCGTAAAAAAGCGGCGGAAGAAAGTTAAAAGGGAACGTTTTTTTTCTTCTCACTCTCCTTCCCTATGGAAATAGCAGAAGGAAATCTGAAAAACCCGTCTTGGCAACAGAAGGTAATTAAATTTGAAAAATAAAACCAAGGGGGTATTAAAGATTTCTGAACACTGGAATCAAATATTTAAAAATTCTTTTTTTGCTATAAGTGGGAAGGGAGAGATAAAGAACTTATATTAAGATTTTGCTGGAGGAGATTGCTTGGAGCTTATAAGACTAGAGATAAACTGTAATAAGACTTCAAAAAATACATTTTGGAATTTTGCAATTGATTCTACTCCAAGAAGAG